ACAGGATTTGCCTACTATCCTTTCATTGTAGCTTACATTTGCTACAAAGCTGTGTTTTATGGGCTTGAAAAGTTATACAGCCCTCCTCTTTGGGGACTCCATTGTATCAGATATTTTGCAGTACTGCCAGAAATAACCAAACCCTTCACGAACTAAAGGGTTATTGCTGGCATGGAATTTCCTTTGTTCCAATTACAGAATCTCATTTTTCTGCCTTGCTTCCAATTGTGCTTTCATTGTTTATGATTTGTATGATTAAAACAAACCACGGTACATTGGCAACAGCAGGGAAATCTGAGACTTCTAGCTTGAAGAAGAGATTTGGCAAGGTGCTAAAAATATATTAATTTTGAATTGGTACAAAGAGAACAAGAGCTATGCTGGTGACTTAGATTAATGTACACGTTTGTCTTGAGAAATTTGGCAATGGCAATATCTAACAGCAATGCTTAATGTGCTTACAAATTTTGCAGTGGGCAGATGTTGCTGTCATTCTATTCAGAACAGCTTGAAAGGAATATACTCGTGTAAGCAGATTATTAAACTCTGAGAATCTAGATTTTAATAGGCTTTTAGTATTAAATGCTGCAAAACCCTGATACTGTATATAAGGTTCAAATCACCTTTGAGATTCCGATGCCTAGCTCCCATAGGAACTGAGGTGAGTTTTATATCTAGCACCTACTTGATTTAAGCTGAAGGCTTTAAATGAGCTAATTATTCAGTCAGGACTCCAGTGATAAGAATCATTCTCTGTTTTTTCTCTACATTGGATGGAGATAAGGGTAAGAGAGGCTGGACAGCATCTCACCACCTCACCCCACCAGCATGAGGTCTGGTGAGAGGATGGGGCATGAAGACAAACAGAGACAAGGAGGGGCATTACAGAAACCCTCGCTTAGGCAGCTTTAAACTGTGGCACACTCACCCTGTCTACACGTCTGTCTCAGGGAGTTGCCTGCAGTTGAGCCCAGAAAAGCTGTAAAGAGGGGTACAGGAATGCAAAGAGACAGAGGAAGATCCATCAGGACTGGGCCCAAACTACCACCAACACTCAAGCGCTGTGACCCCTCAACAAGCTCTTTGCAAGTGGTAAAATGTGCCATGTGTGGCATTTGCTGTGACTCTTTCTGGCACCCCATAAAAGCACAATGTGTTTTTGCACACTTTGAAAAGTGTGAAAAGCAAGAATGTGTTGCCTTTTATTTTTTCTTCCCTCTTTGGCTTATGTTCTTCAACCACACAGCAACAGCACAGCAAAAGACACAGGTACTTCTCTGCTCAACCAGAAAAATCAACCTCCCTGGTACGGTTCTTGCTGTTTGCAAGCAATTATTTCAAGCCACCATGTCCTAAATCCACAATAGGGATGGCAATCAAACTATTAACCCAAAGACAAAACCTCAGGAAGGAGGATGAATTCTTGTCATTACATCGTGCAATGTGGAGAAGTAAATGACCACAAAGGATCACAAAGTAACACTCAGTAAAAGAAAATGAGGGATGAATCATATTACAAAGGCTGGAATACACAAAGCAGGATGAGTGACCCACCAGCAGAGCACATTGCATGGCAGCCCCACCACAAGCCAAGGTGTAGAATGCTCTCAATCAAGTGGGTTCTCAGAGCTCCTCATCTCAGGGGGCTTGCAAGGGGCTGCACCAGGCAAGGAGTGCAATCAGTGCATTGTAACCTTTCCCTATCAGTGGGAAATCGCAGAGTCAGGGGTGAAATGAGAACATAACTCTACAAGTAGAGTTGGACCTCGATCACCACAACAAGCAAAGCAGAGTCTGAACAGGACTCCACAAAAACGGTTTGCTGTGTCAGGAGGAAAGCAGGATGAAATACTCCAGCCAGCTGCATTGCACTGAAGCACCAGACAAACACTCCACCTTCAATCAGGGCAGAGGGAGTTAAGGGCAAGGAGGAAACAGAGGATGGTTCAAGGCTCAAATTGGGAAATGAGACCCAGTGGAAAGACACGGAGCGTGTCCGGCCCGTGGGAAGGAGGGACATTCTCACTGTCTGCGGATAACAAAGCACTGGCATAAACAGGATAGAGTAAACACTGATTCAGAAAAACCACAAGAGGAGGAGCACAGGGTGCAGAAGGGGCTGTTTGCGTCAAATAACAGGATACACATTGTCGGTATTATTTAGTACTTGAGAGCATTGGCAAGGGGTTGTGAATTTGCTATTCCAGGCATGACTTAATATGTTATAGGAAAAAGGCTTTGAATAACTAGCAAATTTTGTTGTGACAGAGAGATCAGAAAACAGACAAACCAGTAGGGCCCCTCTTTAACTTAATGAACGCTCGGATACTGTATTAAAGACGTAAGAGGTAAATAACCACAAACCCTACTGGAATGCCACCAAATCCTAGACGTGTCCATATGGATGCTCACACCAACACTGCAATGCTCCAGCAGTTTTACCCATTGTCTGTGCAGCACCAGACATTGAAACACACGGAAACACGTCATCCAGCCAAAACATCACTCTCCCCTGATGATGCAAAACTTTCAGCAGCTTCAGCAGGTGCTTTCTAATCAATCCAGGAACCTCCTGCCCTGCTGTGTTGTCCCCCAACACACACCAGCTTGGCTGAAGCCACCCATGAGGACCAGGGCTTGTGAATGTAAGGCTGGTCCTGTCTGTCCATAGAGGGAGGGCCTCATCCACTCAGAATTCCAGGCCTGCTGGCCTGAAGCAGAGCCTCACTATATCACCTGTCCCTGCTCTCCCTTTAATCCTGACCCACTGAGTCAGCCCTTCATCCATTCCCAGGAACTCCATCTGCTCTAGATGGTCACTCACATAGAGGGTAACACCCCCTTATCATCTGCCCTTGCTTGTCCTTCCTAAAGAGCCTGTATCCCTCCCTTCCAACACTCCAGTCATAGGAGCCATCCTACCACACCTCTGCCACCCTTCTTTCTGGGAACCACTACATGTGTGGAGCAACTACCAGGCCAGGCCCCTGAAATTAATACTAGATATCAAAACACACCAAACTTCTTGCGAAAAGTGGTAACGTGGAGCCTGATGACCAATGAAATGCTCACCAGTCCAGCAGGAGAATTGCTGCTGCCAAGCCAGAAACACTCCAGCACATAACACAAATTCTCAGAGCTGCTTGCATAAGAGCTCCCACACCATGAACAGCTGCTTGGCTCCCTCTTGGGGAAAACACTGAAATAAAGGAACTGGCAGTTTGGGGTACTCGAGCACCGTTACCTTAAATGCTCCTGATTTTCAGGAATCCTCCCAGACTCTCAGAAACAGATGCTAGGCTGGGAAGTTCAAGTATGTGAAGTAGTCAGTTTTGACTCTGCATGAAGCAATGCAATTGGCTTTAGAGATCATTTTAACTACATGTTTGCTTCTATTTGAAACATTCTGCAAATGGGTCCTGAGAGAGGAGCTCCCTGGACCATCACCTTAGCTCAGCTTTATTTAGCTGAGTTCTTCCTGTAGTTTCACTGGCAGAAACACCACCAGGTATGAGACACTTTCTCAGCCCATGGAGCAGAGGGCCACCCTGGGAAGTGTTACAGCTGCAGATGCTAAAAACACAAGGTGGGAAACTTACATTTGAGGGGAGATCTGGACTCAGCACCTTTCCACTGGTACCACTTCACCCAGCTGTGGCATCAGCAGGACCTGGACCAGGGCCACTGGCCATGGCCCCAGTGAACCGTCATAAGAGAAGACCTCACCCTCGGTCTTCCTCTCCAGAGCTGCAGTGTTTATAGCTCTGCTTAAAAAATTCTAATTAACAGCCAGTGAGACAATATTGAATTAATTTTTTTTTCCAACTGAACTTCTCAGGCATGGAAACGTGAGATTTTCCAGAAATAGGTACCATTAGAGGACACATTTTTCCTTAGGCACCGTAAATTCGTTTTATTAAGCGTGTGATCTTAGATGCTTGAGTCATTTTCTTTCAAACTAGAGTTTGATGCTATTTTGGTCTATTCAGTGTTTCAGGTCAGTATTGCAAGTACAGGCTAATTACCACCTGAGGTTACTGATCAAGAAGTCATAATTAATATCTCATCATTTCACCACTTCTTGATTTTATTTCTATTTCTTCCCTTATGCAAACTACTTAATAGCAAAGGATGCCTTGCAAAGTAAGGTGATTAAAGGAGATTTATGTATAATTATAAAAAACATTTCCAAGTTCTATTTCCACATTATTTAACATTCCCGAGGGGCATTTTTTGCATGAAAAATTTCCATTTCTATTAACGCTTCCTTCCCCTTTATGCTGTGAATTCTGCATTTGCCTGTCTCCATTAATCTCACAACTACCAGCGCAACATCCTCAGAACCAGTGAGTGGGGCAGGGAAAAGTGGCCAGTGCATGAGCTGGACCTTGATGTGAATGGTTTGGTCCAGAGAAGACAGCCAGGACTTTGTGGTGGGAAGATGGTCAGATGGCAGCAGTTGCACCACCAGAGCTCAGTGGTCCTGACCTCCTCCAGCACGGAGATATGGCAAAGAGAAACCCGACAAGGTGGTCTTTCTTGTCCCTCCCTGAGTGGAGCAGGGGATGCCAAACATGCTGCCCTGCTCCCACTACATGGAGCCAGGTTGGAGACATCCCCACCCCAGGCTGTTCATGGTGGCAATGCCTTCACTGCTGCCCCAGAGGAGTCATCCCTGGCACTGTGGTGAACCCTCCCACAGCAGCATGGCTGTGTCAAGCTGCTGCTGCTCTCCTGTCTCTGGCCCACAGCTGCCAACCCATCCTGACCTAAACCAGCCAGGGATGCAGGGTTTTCACTGAGCAGAAAACTCAGTGGAGGGCAGCACACAATCACTTCTCTCCGTGCAGACTTTGCACATCCATCCGAGCTGCAGCACAGCTGGACACTTCCACAAGGTTCTTAAAGTGAGTAGTGTCCTGGTTACAGACTGCTCAGGTGCCTGGTGGGGAAGAGATAAGCAGTGATGAAGAGAGGGAGGGAAGGGAGATGTGACTCACCTCTCCACGACTTCTTGTCCATTCCAGCAAAGGGTGTCATTCTGAACAGCAGAGCTGTGGTTGCAGATGTATTCTGGCAAGCTGCTGTAAAAACTGCTGTGGGACTTCAGCTTTGCAATGAGTTCCCTGGAAGAAAGGAGGGGAAAAGATGCTCAGTTAAAAGAGGAAGAGAAGATGGGGTTTTTGCATTTTAACTAGTGAAAGTAATTACAAAAACACAACAAGAAAGCAGCTGAGTGCAGCATAGTTTTGTTCCTGACCTTAAGTAGCTCTTTGCATTGTCCCCTGACGTTAGTGAGTCAAAGGCTCAAGCTGTGTTTTCTAGAGCAAAACCTGCTGGTGATGGGAAGGGATGGTGGGGCAGCAGAACCTTGGCCAAGCAGTGCTGCAGGCAAAAGCCAGACACAGTCTCTACACTCACCAAAATGGCTCTGCCCCAGGAAGGCAGAAAGAGCCACAGGAGCAGTGCTTGCACCACACAGAGGGGATGTGAATCAGGCTGCACTCTGACCCTGCACCCTCCCTTGCCAGCACCAAGGACCTTTGTCCCCAGCTGGTCACCCTCAGCAGCAGCCCAGAGGTGCCGGGACACAGGCTGACCCCAGGGACTCTAACAGCTGCCAGAAAGGGGACAGGGGCTCTGGGAGTAGGATGTGACATCCCTCCAGTGCAGGTCAGTCCCCTTGGGGACACTCAGCAGCTGTCACCAGGAAACACCAACAGATTTAATAAGGTAAATGGCACCAAAAGTATGATAATATGAATAGCAGGGACTGGAGGTAGTAAGACTTGGCCTCACAGTCTCCTTGCTTGGTTTCAGCATGTTTTCTCCTTCGGCAAAAGTTTATTTCTCAGCCTCCTTCCTCCCTGGGGGGAGGATGAGGAATCAGCACTTGGAGCGCTCTCAGGGCCATCCCCTGGGTGCTACAGTGGGGGGAACTCCGTGCCCTGGCAGCTGGAGGGAGCTGCACTGCAAGCTTAGGCAGTTTGGTGTGCAGAGCGGGTGCCCAGCTCCCTCTGTCCCTCTTTGCTTTGGGATTCCGTGGAGTTCCCTCTCCAGCAGAAGCCCGCGACAGCCAGCTGGGGGCAGGCGACACAAGGAGAAGCCGCGAAGGAGCCTGTGCTCTGCGCTGCCTTTTCACTGCCAGGGAGCCTGTTCCTCCCTGGTGGAACCGGCACAGCCCCCGCCGGCAGAGCTGCAGCCCATGGAGGCCGAGGGCCACCCAAGTCTTCCTTCTGGCCACCACAGCACATCCTGCACGGGAACTGCAAACACTGACCAGTCTGTCACTGTCCATGACAACAATCAGGAGTTTGTTGAGTTAAAGCCCCTCCAAAGTGTGAGAATTCAGCCCACAGACTCCTGCACAGACCAAAGAGGTGCTTCAGACAGTCACCTCCTGCGTGAATCACCTCCTACATCCATCTCCTGCACTGGCCTTACAGCTGGTCCAACCAGAAGGTCCAACCAACACCATTTGGCAAGCCAAAATAAGGCAAGACCTGGGTCTTCAGTTAGGCCAAACCCCAAGCAGGACAAGCCTCACTGCCCATTGCACCCAGCTCCTCACATCCCAGGCACTGCCTTGCTCCTCTTCCACAAACCCCAGTAGCACTGTGGAGAACAGATGGAAGAGAACTTTCCTAGGGAGCAGAGTTCCCTGCTGGGCAGGGAAGGGAGAAACTCCTCTGTATCTGCAGGTATGAGCCCATGTAATTCATCTCTGCAGATTTCATTAGACTTCAGAGTCCTCAAAAGACATCTCTGTCAGAGCCTGGGCTGTGTAACCCTCCGAACGTGTTGAGACAAGGGAGGAATGCAAGCCCCGGTGCTGCATCTCCTGGGAACCGTATCAAGAATGTGGCCCTGTTAGTTTTCAAAGAGAAATCCATCCAATTTACTCCATCTCTCCAGTTTCAAAAATTGTGAAGCTTGCCTGTTTCTCTTCCACAGGGATTTTTCTGGTATTCAAGAGAGCAGTAGAGGCACTGCTTATCTCTGGGTGTGCTTTCAGATGCAGGGGGTAGATGCTGCTCCCTAACACACCAGCATGAGCCCACCTAATTACAGCTTCTGTGTACAGGGGGAAGGAAGCACAAGGTGCAGTGCTAGCACTAGAGGCACCTGCTTCACTTACAAAATACTCAGTAAAAGACTGTTAACATTTCTGAACTATGATAAAAACACTACAAAAAAAACCCAAAACAAAACAAAAAAACCACCATGAAATGCATCCCCTTTACCTACACACACAGTGTAACACACAACATTTCAGGCTGGAGTGACCCTTTCCAACTGTGAGTGTTTTTGGCACTACAGCAGTAGCCAAGAAACCCAGACAAGGCATTTGGTGTATGAACCTGGATGCCTGGCGGATTGCAAAAAGAAAAACAAAGATGAAAAGCAGGAGGCAGTTTTATAGGTTAAAAAAGAATGCACTAGGTGAAAAAACCCATGTAGACACCTTCAGAGCCAAAAGCAGGTTTATAGGTAAGGGAAATAAGGAGCTCTCCCACCCATTTCCACAGGGCCATCCCATATGGTGACCACTCCTGTAGCCCATCCAGCAGGCACCACACTCAGCCTGACCACTCTCACCTCCTCCTGCTCGACAAAGTTTCTTCTTGCTCAATGTGAGTCACCTTCAGAACCTTCTTGTCAACGAAAAGGTCTTCAGGGTAATTAGCTGATCGAACCTGCCTCTGCTGAGCGTGGCCACATAACCGGCTGATCTGGAAAAAACAAACACAGCAGAGCAAGGGAGTGTTGGGACTAGAAAAACTGCAGGACAATAGCCAAGATGCACCCTGGCACCTGCACAGGAGCTGGTCTGTCCCCATCTCACCCACAGCTCATACATGCATCTGAAAGCAAACTGCTGTCCTAAAGATACAACCTGGCTTTTGTACAAATACCTGTCCTGTGGGAAGGAATGCAGGAAGCTTCAGGCAAAGCTTTTGGGCATCAAAATGCCCCTGTGGGATTTACCTGTGGAAGGTAAATCCTAAGACCCTGGCTCTGCACGGCAGCTCATCATCTGCACAGGCTGCACTGCAGATACCCAGGGATAAGCATGACACGCATCGTTACTAATTAAAAGACCCAGGGCCTAAAATACAGCAAGCATTGTGGCCACAGCCCCGTCATACCATGGGAGGTCTTGATTAACAGGGCTCTGCTAATGGCACAAATTAGCTCATTAGCATACAGATGATTTGGTAACCGGCTGCAGCAGGGAGGAAAGGAATCCCAACCACCTCGTTAAAGCTCTCTCGCATGGCCACCGTCCCAAGACTGTCCCTGCTGCAGATGGATTTGCAGTCATTTCCTTCTCTGGGACACCACCTAGAGACAGCTGGTCCCCCATGGCACTACTTGCCGCTGTGAAACTCGCCTTTTGACCCACCCTATGCTGTTCTGCAGGCCTCATCTGTGTTGGGTTGTGAAGGGAGTTTGGCTGATCATTGGGACCACAAAGGCACCGCAGCTAACACCAACTTCTGTTTCTGTAAGCCTCATCCTACCTCACACATCCAGGTTTGGGACCAACCATACACCCATAAAATGCTTGATCCTTGCAGACCTCGTTTATCTCCGTGCCACACCGCATCAAGGCAGTCAGCTAAACTCCCAGTTAGCTGCACACTGGAGGTTAAAAGCACACCCGCTGCCCAAAGCTACAAGCATCTGATGTGTAAAGAGAAGAGATTAATTCTGTTCTATTACATCCTGCATTTGGGTGGGCAAATAAATTAGTAATGTCACCTCTTTCATTATCAAGAGCAGCACAGTTTGTTTGCTCAGGCTGCTATACAACAAAGAGTAAAATAGAAACCTCCTGGGAGCTGGGCACTGCAGTTTCTGGTTCACAGCACGGTGGGAATAGATGCTCCCACCGGTCCTTCTGCACCTGCAGTTCCCTCTGCCAAAGCTGCTCCTCCTGCAGCTGCCAAGTGAGTAGTTTCTGCAACATCCTACCTGGTTTTGCTCCTTTTCCCTCCCTTTGGCTGTCTCTCCTCTCCGCCTTGCCAAACCTAAGTCTTGCTGAAGAATGTATCAGCCCTACTGCACTCCCTAAATCATGTAGCAGGCTTCAAACACAGAGGGAGGGAGTCAGAAAAATGACCACATTTTAGGTTATTTTCTTTGCCTTTTGGGCTTTCCTTTAGCACTCATCACCCTCTTATAGGATTTGCAGGTAGTCCCCTGATGCAAGCAGACAGGAATAGGAGGAAAACATGGGACAGCAGGAGACCTGGAAAAAGGGCATTTGAGACCTGAGACTCCACCATTGTGGAATGGGTCTGGACATCTCGTGCTCTCTCTTTGCTGGCTGTGCCAATATCTCTGCAAAGGGCGGGTCAGCAGGAGAGTGTGAGGATGCACAGGGGGGTCTGTGGACTTTTCCCCTCCAGATGTCAGAGTTGACCCCAGCCATGAAGCCTCCCCAGGGAAACACAGGGTACACAAAAGCTCCAGGACAGCAGATACAGAGGAAGCAATGCCACAAAGCAGCATCATTGCACCCACACTCTGCATGGGCACGTCAAGCAGAGGAGAGAAGCGGGAAAAGGTCGGATATTTTAAGCTGCCATTTGTGATGACTCCCTTTGATTCTTCCCAGCTCTTTGAAAAGCCCCTCCTTCCCCTTCTAAAGCCTGGCTTTCAGCTGGCAAAGCCTATTGAACTCAGAGAGAAGAGCAAGTCCAGGATCAAGGCTTTTTCCCAAGAATGGAGAGAGGCACTGAATGGGAGGGGAGGATCGGAGCGACAGTGTGAACAATGGCACCACCCCAGAGTGTGTTCAAACAGCAAAGCAGCCAGGCAGACCAGAGCTGCCTCATCTCCCACCTAGCACCAAGGCACCTCAGCCCTTCTGCTCCCAACTCCTGTACAAGAGGTGCAACTCAGCCGCATCCTCACAGCCCGACGTGGCATCTGGATACCATGGGCTCCTCGAATTATGGGATCATTAAGGTTCAAAAAGACCTGTACAATCATCAAGTCCAACCACTGATCATCAAGTCCAAGCACTGATCACTGAGTCCAACCATCCCTCCTGTGAGGGGTGAAATCACAAACAGGATTGTGCTAGCTGTGGCATGGGACAGCAGATGAAGTCTTCATGGATAAAAGGTAGAAAGTTTGAGCAGTGCATCCAAGTTTTTACTTATTTATTTATTCAAGCACCAATTAACCTTTTCAGGAAAAAAAAAAAAAAAAAACAAAAAACAACCTTGCAGCCCATCTTGTGAAGTCACAGCAAAATGGTTGTCACCTTTTAGTCAAATCCCCTGCTGAGATTTGAACTTAAAATAAAGTGAGTGAATGTATAAGTAACAGATTGCCTGCTCATTTGCAGGGGCGGCATCGTGTGTGCTTTTGGGGGGAGGGAAGGATTTCACAAACCATCTGCCAGAGTCTGCTGGGCCACAAGCAGTCCTAGGACAACAGCTCAGAAATCCTATTTCAATCTTTCCCTCTTTTTGAGTCCCCACTGCAAGCTCAGGAACACATGAACACCGCTTCCCAGTCTCTTCCTAACCTATTTTAAAGTAAGCTCCAAAAAGTCCAGAAAAATGCCCCTGCAGGACAGTCAGAGAAGGGACAACACAAGTTCAGGCCTTGGGGAGAAAAAAAAGTGTGATGCTTCATCTGTCCAGGTATCACCTGCTCTGGCAGGACAAGGACAGTCAGCTCCACAGCACAGTGGTGTGCCTGCAAGAGGGACAGCAATAGGAAGGCAGCGTATCTGATGGCACGTGCCAAAACAGTGTCAAGCGACAGCGGTTAATATGTGGTTTCCTCCCTTTTTATATTTTGCCACGCAAATATAGAATCGAAATTCAAAGCAAATTGACAGAACGGAACTGCCGGCTCTTCTCCTCAGGCTCTGCACTCCATCAGCTATCGGGGGGATCGTAAATATACATCAGCCCTTATCTACAAGTACAGTCACTGTGAGAGCTGTGCAGTCTCTTAATCCATGTCACAGATGAGGCTGAAGTTTGACACACCAGGCCACAAAAAAAATGCATAAGTAAATCAAAGCGTAGTGTGTGTTTTAGACAACAGGATTTGGACTTTTTGTTTTTAAAAGAATCTGCCAGTCCACCGAAAAACTGCAGCAAGGGGACACCAGGCAAGCAAAACCCTCCCAAAGACCTGAGCCTTCACAAGCCCCTAAAGCCACTGATACTGTAACAGCCAAAGCAACATTTCCCTACCCCAGCTCATTAACAAACTCACTAATTACCCAATTTAATTAGCGTCCTGCATGCGAGCGTGACCCTGGCCACGAGGGGAACGCTTTGACTTCTGACGACCACTACCCACTGCTCCACTTCTTCTATTCCAGCCACAGGGAGGGACCATCCTCAAGTCAGGCACAGCTCCTCGGGCACTGCCTGTGGCCAAGGTCCCCACGCCTGAGGGGGAAGCAGCTGGCTCCCAACACCCCGGGGAGTCACACGCCGTGTAATGGCTCCGCTTGAGAGGGAACATTGATTTGAGAGGAGCGCAGGGACGAAGCTAATGGAGTAGCACTATCAGCCAATTTTAACGCTTCCACATTAATTTAAGATAAGAGGTGCCTGAGGACTGCAGGGAACCTGTGGCTGCACAGGAACGATGCGCTGTGAGCAGCCAGGGACCAGGTCTGCTGCTGCGGCTGCTTCCAGCTGGATCAACCACATGGGTCGACCACGTGGGTGTAAAGCACCATACTGATCCACTGGATACCTGCAAGCACACGAAACTGGGATGATTGAGATAAGCTTAATTTATATCAAAGAAATAGTGACCACAATACCAGGTTCTGTGCAAGGATCAGAATTTCGGTGCAGCTGATGGAGGGCAGAATTCCCACAGGCACCTCCAGCCTGGCTGTGGCAGGATGGAATCGCTGATACCACTGAGGCTACAGATGGAACCTGCTCTGCTGCCCAGGCATGAGGGACCATGGCCACACAGGGTATAAACATCTTGCCCTGCCCATCAGCAGGCAAATCCAGGGGGGCAAGGAATTGGAAAGCAGCAGTGTGATCCTCCTGCCAATCTGAGCATTGCTTTTAAGAATAACAACGTATTAGTAATTTTCTAGATTATTTAAAAAAAAAAAGCTAATCAGCTTCCCCTTGGACAAGAAGAGAGTGCATTAGACACTGCTGGATACCTGCTGCTGCCACTTTTCATTCAGCCCAGGAGCTCCACTCTGCTCTAAAGGAGAGCTTGCTGTATTTGACCTTTGCTTAAACTTTATATGGAGTTTCCATTTGTCTTCTCTATGAACTCTTCTGCTTATAGATTCATTCTCCAGGAAGACACAGTATTTTTTTCCCCTCAAGGGGATGGCCTCATTTTTGAAGATTTCTTCCTGCAATCTCCTCTGCTCTCTAGAGTTCACATAAGTCATTTTATACCTATTCACGAGTTTCCTTTGGGAGAAGCCACACATTAAACTGAAAAATGATTAACTGTTATAATTGATTTGAACACAGCCTCTGAAAGGGTGATTTCCTACAGTATGCATAGAACATCAAGAGACCATAAAAATCAAGAAAACATGCTGTCTTCAGAGAAACCAACTGGTGCCCACTAAATGCTGAGCATCCTTGAGTGATACATCCCAGTTTGACCAGTAAGGCTGAAAACCTCAGTACTACTGCTGCCTGCATTGGTGCTTCTTCCCCAGTTCTTTTTAACAACCTACTCCCCTACACATCACAAGTAT